TTTTTACAGTGGCTTAGCAAGACAATGTAAAACTCACAGTCTTCCTTGTAATATGACATTAAAACATCCTTATAGTGTTTCGCCAGTCGATGTAAAAGATGTTGATAAGACTAAGGGTGTTTTGTCTCCTGGTATACTCCCAGAAGATTGGGCTGCCCAACTCACATTATTAGATTTAAATATATTTAGTCAAATATCTCCAGAAGAATTATCTTCATGTTCTTGGAATAAGAAGCAAAAATTAGAAGTTGCACCAAATGTAGTAGCATTTACTAGGCAATTCAATCATGTAAGTAGAAAATTAAATAATAAAATGATTTGGATTGAATTTTAAATGATACATTTTCAGGTATCATTTTGGGTTGTTCAAGAAATATTGAAAGGCACCACTCCAAAACTACGCGCTGATTTGATCACTCAGTTTATAAAGATCTCCAAAAAATTGTATGAGCTTAACAATTTTCATTCATTATTTGCTGTTATTTCTTCCCTTCAAAGTGCTTCAGTGTATAGGTAAGTTATTAATTCAAAGTGATTGAATTCAAATTTCCAAATGTGTTTTATTGGTGATTAGATTATCTAAATCATGGAACAATGTGTCGAAAAAAGATCGGCAATCATTTGATAAACTAGCCAATGTTTTCTCAGAATGCAATAACTGGAGGAATCTTAGAGATCACCTAGAAACCTTACGTTTACCATGCATACCTTATTTAGGTAAGTCATAAATATATAATATAATAGGTTTATTAATATGCATTAATTTTTTCTAAAAACATGTGTTCATCTAGGTGTATTTTTGACTGATTTGGTGTATGTTGATATGGCACATCCTCATAAAAGTAGTGGATTATTAGAATCTGAAGCAAGACGCCTGAAAATGAATAACATTCTAAGAGTAATATCACATATGCAACAGAGCCGTTATGATCATTTGATACGGTTCTCTGGAATAAATGATTATTTAAACTCTATTAGATATATTGAAGAATTACACAAGTTTGTTCAAGACGACCAATATAAGTATGCACTACAATGTAGTAAATTATGCCTTAATTATTTTATACATTTTTATTTCATGTATATTGTGTTTAGATTATCATTAAAGTTAGAACCTTTATCCTGCCAAACAGAAAACTCTAGAGGCTCCAAAGAATCCGTCAATCAAGTCTTATTAGATTCTTTGAGTTTATCACCAGCAAAATCAGCAGATTTAATGCGAATAAGAAAATTTTCTTTATGCAAGCAACCACAACAGAAAA